AGTTGCTTTACTTGAATTAAATCTGTGCAGTCTCTGTAGCTTTTTATGTGGTATCTGTCCAAACTTTTCCTGCAGCTGCTCAGTAAGTGTTAGGCAACACTTGTACTGTATTCACTGCAGATACATTTTGGATTGTGCAGCGAGATGGAAGTTGCCTGAACTTGCTTTTAATAATGACATCAGATACATTCTGTCCTCAACTCAATGGAAGCTACAAAAAGGACTATTTTTTCCTTACAGTAGCCTGTAAGAAAGTAAAAGAAAGAAATCGAGTTTCACGAAGCTAAACACCTAAATCAATAAGGCTTCTCAAATTCTGAGAGAAGGACTATAGTGCCACATTCTGGTAGCCACACCCCCAACTTTTGCCATTTTTCCTTGTTTTTAGTTTTTCATTATGCTCATTAATGCCAGCTTCTTTTATTGCCTTTCAGTGTTTTGAGCACAAGCTGTGCACACATGAATGCAATACTTTTCTGCCTGTCACCCTTGTTCTAAACCTGTGGAGACAGACTAAGGAGCTCTGTTCACATCTCCTCTTCCCCTTACTTTGGGATTATTCCTACCTATCACTATAGTTAGTCATGTGTTCTCATAACAGAATTCTCAGGAAGAAGAACTACTCCAGGTATCAGAAGAGAAAGTAATCAATCTGTTCCAAGCAAGCTGAACATTACATTTGTTGTTTGTAATAACCTGACTCCCTTTCAAAGGGAACAAAACTCAGATTTCACACTAGAACTTCTGAAACCAAAATACAGAAAATTTCTAGAGATCAGAGTTAACAAGCAGGGGGTTTTTTTTGTTTAAGTGTCAGAACAAAGATGTCTCATTACTACAGTCGGGTATTACCTTGCTTTCTGGTCATAGCAGTCCCATTACAAATTTGAAACAAGCACTAGAAGTGAAGCTCAGTGTCCAACCCTACATACATTTTTAGATTACATCTAGAATTCATGTAAACAACATGAATAAATAGAAATCTGTCATCACCCATTATACACTGTATTGGCCACTTTGGCTTGTAATGCACTGAAGTGTCTGAATTTGCATTTCAGATCTCTTTCATACAGAAGGCATAATTTAAAGTGAGATACTGTGAAAGAGCTGTGAAAATCCCAGTCTCAGATTTTTTCCTACTGTTCCTGTAACACAGGAAAATTTGATACAAGCATTCATGATGCTCATCAAGAAGCTATTAAGCATTTTTACTAAAAGGTGTTAAGTAGCTTACAGAATTCTATCCAAGAAGTAATTTGACAAGTCCTATGATGGCATTTAAAGGTTGTCAATCTGATTAAAGCTAAGCATTGCTAGATGAGAAAGAAGACAGCCTGACGTTCAGAAGCCTTGCAAAAACAGCTTAAACATCTCTAGCTATGCAAATTCTTTTGGGGTAAAAAATACATCAACTCCCTTAGCACCAGCATCCCTTTGAGGGAAGCTTTGTTCTCTACTAGGGGAAAAAACCAAACCCACAGTTATCCTATACAGATATGGCAGTTACTAGCTGTAATCAACCCATATAGTTCTTGAAGTGAATGAGGACTTGGGTGACCTTCCTGCCTTACTCCAGCAATATTCAGAAATAATGCAGTCAATGAAAGGCAGGTCCTGAAACACAACTGTCTCCAATCCTTGTACAGGCCTTAAAACCATGCTTCTCCCCATTACAGAAGTTGCAGCAAAGCTCTACATTTCAAGCAAGAAATTGTATAAAACAAGATTTTAAATGCGAGCTAAATGAATGCCAGTAATGATATGCATAGCCTTCTACTGGATTACGTTGGTCTATTCTACAGGCACACTAACTGTAACTTCACAATAGTCCCTACTCAGGCTTGAGCTCCGAGTAGAGCTAACTAGCTGCTGCAATCTGTAACAGCATCCAACTTCAGCACATCTTCTGCCAGCTTCTCCTACAGATTTTGCATAGACAGAATATCCCCATCCCTCTGCCCCAACACACATTTCTCAATACAGGGAGATCATTTAAACTTGAAATAAACTAAAGCCAGAAATAGCAGATTAACATCAGTGAGCTACATAAAGCTTTGATGGATCAAACTGTTACGAGTAACATAATGTGTTAAGTGTCAAGGCTGTATCAAATCTGCTGTTAAGGACAGACCAAGCAGAGAAGAACATTTGTAACCACTAAGCAGCAGTAAACTAACATGCTATATGAAGACTGTAACTTACACTAATTAAAATCACAGAATCGTTTAGGTTGGAAAAGACCTTTAAGATCATCCAGTCCAACCATTAACCTAACATTACCAAGTCCACACTAAACTAATTAAGGGTAGACTAGACTAAACCATGGCCCACAGTGCCACATCTACCTGTTTTTGAACGCTTCCAGGGATGGTGACTCCACCACCTCTCTGGGCAGCCTGTTCCAATGCTTGACTACCATTTCCATAAAGAACTTTTTCCT